ATAGTCGTGATACAGATCGACCGATGCGGTTTTGGTCTCTACAGCCTCATTTCGCTCAACCTGATGTTATGCTGATCTGTTTTTCTTTATATACTATAAACACCCACCGATTCATTGTATTTTTTGTTTTACGCTGGAGATATAACTGGCAACTGACGTAATTGGCAACAAGATCACACAGAGGGAGATGTTTTCAATTATCCGTAAAAAAGAACGAGAAAAACGCAAAGGTCAGCCTCGTTCTCTCTTAGGGCCTATGGTGAATGGCGGTGCTCGGTATTCCGCTACCGTTTACATTCGCAGAGCGGAATGGCTTAGACGAGAAGAACCTCTTAGAAAGGCATTAAGCGATCAGAGCCAATGGTTGGACCCTTTTACTGGCTTGAATAGGGCTCGCAGATCCCCATTCGCCCAAGTTCCGCTCCGACGTCGTCGCTGTTTCTACCGCTATTGCCAGAGAAGCAAGTGTCGCGCTGTTACAGTTTGACTAAACTGCAATTTACCTGTCTATTCGTCTGTTACCCCAACGGCAGCGGCGGCGTAGCAGCAAATCTGTCTCTCTACAGTCCGGCCGACTGGCAGACTAAGCTATATCTCGCACTATCACCATGCCGACGTCCTCCATCGGTCGTCTTTTCTTTCGTTTTTCCACGGAGAGCACCGGATCCCACAGCCGCCGCTGATTGCGACTGTCACTTCGTGAAGCGACGAACATCAGGGAGAGAATGGTGATTTTGGCGCTAGTTCTGCTTCTATTAATGTTCACGGCGCTGACAATAACGACGACTACGATGATGGTGATGCTGTTAGAGGGAGGCGTAACAGACTGGGAGAATGAAACAGTTATGCGAGGTTGTCATGTAAAGGAGCCGTAACAGGAACAACAATAACAGTTGAGGTGACGTCGGCTTCTTCAGGGCCGCCAGAGCTACCGCCGCCGCCGCCGCCGCCGCCGCAGTGGCTTCGACTTTTTCTCGCATCTTCTCGTTGTCGCTGCCACTACGGCGAATATCTTCTACGTATTTTTCTTTGTTTCCCTGTGACTATGGGCTTTGCCCTGTCGTCGGTGTTTTTTCTATGGTTTCTGCTCTCGTTTATTCTCGCGAGGCTTCTTCCCAAAGACGAGTCAAGTACAAGCGCGAATGAATTGCAGGAATGCCAGCGCTGACAGCGCTAGCAATAATTGTTGTTGCAGTTGCTGTTGCGATCGTGCTGAATAGCACAGGACCAGGTGGACCGAAGACGGACTCTTGTAAAGAAAAAGGCGATCAATGTAAATCGCTATAAACAACAAACGATACAAACTGTATCCGTTTTCCAATCATGACTATTTATTAGCGGCTTGCTGCTACTGCTGCTGCCCCCGCTGGCCTCGCACGTTACCAAGAGGCGCTGTTGCCCCCACGTCCGCTGCTGGTCTTACCGTTATTGACAGATTTACTGCCTTTATCCGTAAATTCATGTCATATGAGGCATAAACATAAAACTGATCTTCCTCTGCTACGTGCTGCTGTTTTCGTTAAGGCTCAAAGGAATCCTATTAACCGCTTCGAACGAGCTAGCTATAAAAAGGTGCGAATTAGAACTATCTTGTGTATACAAATCGTCAAAATTCTGTTCTTTTTAGAGGCTTAACAGTTTCACCACTGTCACTTATCTATGTATTTTTAAATCTGCTGCAAAATGCTTTTGTTACATTAGTGTCCACAGGTATTAGAAGACACTGTCGTTGACGACGCAGTCTAACGATATTAGAATGTATAAGGTCTTGGTTACGCTCCCCTAGTTTCGAACGCGAAGTTCATACCTTGAAAAATTGGTACTGCGTTTGTTTTTGAGTGCGGTGTATCAAAATATGAGTTAGCTCGAGTACACGTTCCAATAGAACTTCTATCTAAGTAATATACTATGAGAGACCTAAGTTTAATATAAGTTTGCTGGGTCCGGTTAGGTTGTCACCGTTGTTAAACCATGTCTGAAGTAATGGTCAAACGGTGCCATCCTGGGGTCGATTCTGTCTTCAGTAGAGTCAGACGAGAAGGGTGACTTGTCTGTCTATCTGTCTACGTCAATTTTCCCCTTGAAGCTCGTATCGCTTACGCAGGAGTTCATTTATATTAAAGATCAATAGCAAGCTAATCAATCAATCAAAACAGTCAAAAAATAGGTTTTTCTTTTTTACATGAGAAAAAGCATCTAAGTTGTCAAGTTTTTTTTGTTCTCAGTCTAAGAAGAACGCAAATGTTTACCCAGAATCGATGTGGCGAACGCGTTCATTCCCAGCGACATACGAGTAAATTGTTAACACACAGTTCGCTCCTTCGTTCGGCTATTGATAATGGATAATGGACCGAGGTTCGGTGCCGTTAACAACTATATTTTGATGATGATACAATGATTAGAAGTAATTCACAGTTGGGTCTCAACGACTCGCCGACGCGGCGAACGTTTGCCCGCTTCAGTCGCTAGATCCACAACAAAAAATCTTTCAGAACGGTAATGGACGGATTGAGCAAATGGCAAGAGAATTTTTAATACTGGTAATAACGTTTACGGCAAACACAGCTAAATGTTTACTTTTAATGTTTCGATATCATGCGTGTCCTTCATCGTTTAAGGCTTCGCGGCCGCTCCGGCGGCCGCTACAGTTTTTTTTGTTGCTGATGCCCATGCCACTTGACGAACTTATTATTACTATTCTTTACACATACGCGCTGATTTATCTATCGTGGCCTCGATGTTTCTGTGTTCGACGGTCCTTTTTTAGTTACGCTGTTGACTGTAGATATTATTGGCAGGCCAAAAGCACTGGCTATTCACTTCGTGCTATTTTCTCCTCTGTCTTTTCCGACAAACTTCAAATCATTGGCTGACTAGCGACCGGTCACGCGATGAGAAACAGCGTTCCGGCAACGTAGACCCAGATGCGCAGACTGTGCCGTTTGATTCGCCTTCGCCCTGCCTCATGCATACATACGCAGATCTATGTACACACAGACACAAAGATGGATATGAGTGACAGTCTTCGAGTTAGTTGGAGACGACGCATGACAAGGCGACCCTTTTCGGTTCTACAATGACAAGAGACCCTTTTACAATGGTTATTTCTCATAGCTAGAGACTGTGTCGTTCTGTGGCGCAGTAGCTAGTAAACGAACGCTATTTTTTCAAGACTAACCGATAATGGCAGTCGTTGTTGAATACAATTTTTTTTACCTTTGAGCTAAAATTAAAGCGTAGCTCAACCAGCTGTTTGTCTCTAACGTTAATGTAAATAGTAGACTTTTAATTCATTTATTAAAACCAGGCCGCGAAGTTTGCATCCTGATCGAGATTAATTCAAAACGATATATAGAGACCTTTTGCATTCTATTCGCACCTTTGCCATTTCCATTTACAATTGCCATTTGCTCTCCCACGCACAATTTTAGCGTGCAGATAGATCTTCTTGCGATATCTTCTCGCAGGCTCTGCGCGGAGTCAGGATGATTGCTCTCAGTGAAGTTCGTGAAAGTGTCGTCAATGCGCGGGAAAGGCGAGTTTCTTTCTAAGTGCTCATCCAAATCAGATGGGAGAAAAGTCAGAAGTCTGCAGCCCTCGAATATGGATCCACGGAGCGCCGTTTGTGAGCGGCTATCGCCGCAGCAATTTCGACAAATTTCTTGCTCCTTCGCTTCCTCTCTGTCCGTCTGGCTCACAGATGACACGCCAACGTCTCATAGTGTCTTATCCATACTGGCCAGCCAGCCAGCCAGCCAGCCAGCCACCGTTTGCATGGTCTAATGCGTGTGCCGTTTTGCTGTTCACTGCCTGATGATCTGCCGCCGTCGCCGCTGCGGCCACAGCTGCGGCCACCGCCAGCGGAGTGGCGAAAAACACAAATCACCCTCGCAATCAACGGCGCGATAGTGACAGGCTTCCGCGAGCCAAGCAGTCTGGTCATGACGTAACGATTGATAACGAAGTACTGCCGATATATGAGAAATGCTCGCTTTCAATCTTCTATACATATATACAATTACAAAACTAATAATTCGGACCGCGGTAGCAGACCCCTGCTAGTAGCGATAATGGTCGTTGTGGCTCGAGTAGGCGTCTTTTGTGCCATTTGGTACTGTTGTTCTCGACGCCGGCATAACTGTCGTCGCTGTGTCAAAATAATGATGGCGTGAGTAGCTGAAAAACGGTATCAATCCATGATGGCAGAAGCTTGAGTAGGAAAACGCTCGAACAGACCAAGAGGCGTTCATGTTCACAGCAAACGTTGACCAACTAAAACTCTGCCCAGATAGCCTTGCTTAGCTTTTCGAAGTCTTCGACACGGGCACGCATTCGGACGTTTTGTCTGATAGTCCATGTTAGCTGTCTGAGATGTTAAAAAGCAAAAACAAGTTGCATCAGTATAAAAATAGCTCGAAGTAGAACGGGCTTCAGACTAGTTTGAGGCATTTGGAGAAGCGATACATCAACAATGTCATGACTCTGCTGTATCGTTGTTCCAACGATATTAGACATACATGCTACATATGATATCGATTGTAGCGTTGTCGATGAGATCCTTTGGTCGAAGCAAAAAAATCAATCGCTGCTATGATTCGTGCATTTACCAGGTCTCTAAATTCAGCTCCCGGTCAGAATATTGTTACTTTTACAGTAGAGTATTTCGCATTGAACTGAATTTCTGAGAAATACTCTTTATTCTAAGCCAATCGACGCGCGGTTAGATTGCCGAAGCTTGTTCCACCCAGAAGAAGAAGAAGAAAGACACCAATTGTTTCGGACTTTGCGCCAATGTCACCAAAAGGAACATGAAAAAAGATCCCTTACCCTATAGCGAAGTCAGATTTTTCATTATACATTCAGTAATTACCAGATGACTTTCTTTCTGTATAGCATAGTTAGTTGTAAATGTTCGACGAGCTTGGATGTGGGGCGTTAGCACTTACATGATACTATGTTCTGCGGACCTCAACATGCACTATCTGTCTTCTGTTATCCAGATGAACACGACACAAGCAGCAGCGATTTCGAATGCAACCTAAAAGGATCAAAAAAGCCACGCAAAGCAAGAACAGCCTTTACGGATCATCAGTTAAAAACCCTTGAGAAGAGCTTTGAAAAGCAGAAGTATCTGAGTGTACAAGACCGAATGGAGTTGGCAAATCGACTGAACTTAACGGATACTCAAGTGAAAACTTGGTACCAAAACAGGAGGTAGGTACTGCTGTTCAAGGTTTTTCTACTAAAATTAAAAACAAGAAAGACGATTTTTGTTGACGTTAATTAATGCAGACGAAAGCACATCGCCATACAAACAAACTATTAAATCCGACATCTTCTGATTTATTTTCTGCCAAGAGGCCATGTGTGGAAAATTAAAGACAGTTTTTGAATTATCTACTGCCAAACCTTGTGTGTCCTGTTAAGTGAACACATGTTTTATTTCAGAACTAAGTGGAAGCGTCAAGCGATGTTTGGCCTTGATTTCCTGCCAATTGCCGCTCGTCAGATGCTGCTCACTGGGCAGGCGCCGCCCCCTAGCGGGCCTACGCCTCCCGGAACACTCTTTCCTCAACCAGGAACACCCCAGCTATCAGCTCACTTGCCGAATGTGCCTGGCGTCCCGCTAGGCGCACTGCAGTCGCTCCATACATCGCCCGCCGCTCTGCACCATCAGCTGGAACAATTGTACCAGGGCGGACACGCCGGGGATAATAAACAGATTCAAACTATCCTACAGGACGCGGCTCAGAGAGCGCTTCTATTAGCCCAGATGGCGTCGTCGATACCCCCATCCGTGCCTACGGCTGCAGTGTTGTCTACTGGAACAACTTCTGTGGCAGCAAACATTTCCGAGCGTGGCGCAGACGATGTCAGCGACGAAGACTACAACAATGAAGGAGATGATGATCACGATGACGATGATTTACGCTGTAACCAAACGGATCACGAAAACGGTGCACAAGTGATGCAGATGCATCATGAAGAAAAAAAGCGTCAGCGATTGGACGCAATGAAGACAGAACGATTTTTATCAGAGAAAAATAATAGTCACACACAGGGGGATGATATCAGTGGCACAACAGATGAGATTGATGTTGAGTCGAGTGAGGGTTATGAGAGGGGGCAGAAGAACTAATTTCAGAAAGCACAACAGAAGCGGTATAAATGCATAGTAGGTTGAACGGTGAAGGCAGACTCAGGGATGATAACTGTGTTTATGTGGTTGGCGGAGCAAAAATGAGATTAAAGTGAGTGCGGTCAACTAAGCGGGGCTGATTTTGTTCGAATTCCGGAAAACAAATAGATAAAGACCGATTCTGTTTAAAAAATATATAAAATAAAAAATTTACTTTTTTGCTAGGTGCTGTCCTAGGCTTCCACGACGGGTGTAGTAATGCACTAACGGGCATGTTATTAAAACGTGTACTCCAAGGTACACGAAAATTGTCTTTGACAGAAGATCAAGGCTCAAAATATGTTTTATGCAATTAATTCAACTGAGAACTAGATGTAAAGGAGAAACACGGTCTGTTCGTTATCATGCTATGTTGGGTAATTTATTTATCGTACCATCACATCACTACTACTTAGAGTGGACTATTTTAATAATATTGTTAATTATTAAATGAACGAACGAACGAAGCTAGATTACGAAGCGAACTATGAGGAATCGTGTGTGAGCTTCGAAATCTGTATATATTTTGTAGATAAACAATTTGCAGAAAATAATGTTCAGGCTGCTAAGTTGTATATTGCAACTCTTATATAAATAGGTAAACATATATAATTAAACAAATCAATCAATGGCCTGACAATCTGTATTCTTAAGGACACTCTTCCTTTGGGAAGAACGATAATAAAACCAAGTGCATATATAATTGCTGTACATTTTTTTCTATTTAGAGACGTATTTAGTAAACTGCATATGTATATATGCGTGTGTGTAAAAAGCACGATAATCGGTGCGCCCCAGTCTTGTCTGTTCGAGAATAGGCGAACAGAAAGTCCTGGCTGGCGCTAAAGCTCTATCACCCGCGCGTCGTCTACACGGGCTCAATATGTTCGGGCCGTACCTTGTCGTAAACGGCCTCATCGATGGGCCATGGCTAGCGACCAGCCCTGGTCCTGCACGGCGTCCGCGAAGATCCTTCTTTCCCAGCACAAAAGTCCCAACAAAGAAGAGGTGTGCTTTCGTCTAAGAAGACTTTGCCCACAGCGTATACATTATTTTTGCGCTACTCTTTTCTTCTCCTCTCTATGTTGAGTAGGTAGCGTTTAGCTCGTTCTAGCGAGCAGATTCCTAAGCTCGAGTGGTGAAAGTGCAGACTTGAGGTCACTGGCAGAGGTTTTACGGTTATACGTAGCATCAGGAAGGCCTGATACAAACTCCTTTGAATGCTGCGTTAACGAGTGTCGCCAGTTAACGCATCCTTACGTCAGTGCGCTGTGTCTAGCTAGGCTAGTTGTACTTGTAACTGACCACGCGAAACCATAATACTTTAGCAGGCCACTATAGCTCATTCTAGAAGCTTACGTTAATTCCAGCCGAGTGTATACCACCCCTTAAACCTACGAAAATATAACTGCAGTCGCATAAGATTGGTTCTTCTAGGTTAGTCCTACTAAAGGTAAGATGCACGCCCGTACAGCAAATCTGTTCATATGAAGCGATATCATCTGCTTTTATTATCTATACATATGTTTCGTTTGTTTATGAACTGGATAAATATCAACACAAAATCGACATTGAGCTTTACATTGTATGCGATACCGAGCTGCCAACTAACCACTATTCAATTTTTACTTGAGATCTTAGCTACTAGCTAGAGAAAATTCGGAACGCCACACCGAAGAATCCTAAATACGGAAAACATTATCATACTTCAACGATGCAAAACCCATAGTCAACAACTTAGTAGGCAACCTTGGCGAAATATTTACCATAGCTCATTCAGTGTTTGGGCTATGATCTCGTTTACTTAGCAGCTTAATAGAAGTTTAGAGATCGTACTAGACGTAAACGCTTTACTGTGTTCATTTGTATAGCGAAGCCTCAGCAATTGCTAGCTAAACAAAAATAGGTCCAAATAATAACTATAGTCATTTAGCACACACAGGAACATAAATCCGTTAGAAATTCTGTGCTGTCATGAGATCCGCGTAGCGTACCCTTTTATCTCCGCCTTTTGTTGTCCTAGAACGGTTGTCACGCTATAGTTGTACCTTACGTCATTTATTAATCGGTGACTTGATACGTGAACAATTTGTTTGCATTTATTTGTAATTGACAGTGCGTGCTTGGAAAGGCATGTCTGATTACCGCTTCACACATCTGACCGGAAGGGTCAGTCACCTGAACCAACGTAAGCCCTTTTACTAGCCACAGGTAAACCCAATATAGTTCAAGTTCTCGTAAACCTCCAAAGACCGCCTGTACAGACACGGCATTAGTAAGCTATAAAAATTATGAGGGCCTTAGGCGACTTAGTATCAGGAAATGTATAAAGAAAGTTACTACGACGTGTTTTTTCAGAGATGTACAAAGGCCCATTCTGCAAAAATTAATCAGGTGTTTTTGTCAACAGTTAATGTGTTGTTTCTTTCCCGGTCTGAACAGCTCGAACCCATTTATCTGGCAACGACATCGATGCGGATTTGTACGCCCGCAAACTTCTTCGAAACTCTGCGCCATCACTTTGCAGCGTAGTAGATGAGCCCGTCACACGGTATGCACGGTTGTTTTTATTATTATCGTACACAAGGTGGCTAGACAAGCTAATTTAAAAAAAAAACAAACTAGAGAAGGTGAAACGTAGATGATTCCCGAAAACAGCTTTCAAAATATGTATTCGTAAGCTAAGGCATCAACTTTGCTTAAGATTTCTGTTGAATTTCCTCGACCGGCTTTTTTTTGCATTTTGAGAAAGCCATACGGCGGCAGATTCGGGAACGCGAAGGTCGAAGCAGACCGGGTATTGAATTTATCTGTAACTAACAAATGGCAACGTGTGAACAACCTATTATCATTGTGCAGGGCTACCAAAGCTTGTTGTTAATATGACATAGCTCGAAGCCATTATGCGCGTCTCCACGAAAACGACCACCAAAAACGGCTGTTTTCTTCTTTTTAACTAAATCTTGAAGCTTCCTTTAGTCCATGCTCCCATATCAACCGATATTTCGACGATTGTGTTCTTATTCTGTCACGTCACGTCATCTATGATGGCGGGCTGTAGCGAGTCCGGATTCCTCTCCAGTTTGTAGAGGTTCCGCTAAAACAGTTGTTGGCGGATTTGCATTTCCCATAAATTCAGGTCTCTCGGCCCAATTTCGCCGCGGGTCTTCTTGCTTTCAAGTGACCTTTCAAAATAGTCCAAAACTTAACCTATTCACTGCCAGCTATAAAGACGAGTATGGGGCCAGAAGCTCGATTCGAGGGTTGAACGACGGCCTGCTGCGCGTTCATTTTATTACTTCTTTTTTTGGTTTGGTTTGAAGAAAACTCCATGGTAAAAACCTCATATGCAAAGAAATGCGTTTAAAAATACACTAAACTTTCCAGATGATTTAAAGGAATAGCAGTAGTAGGTTACTGGGTTACGCACTCTAATTTTGTACACTATGTACTACTGCGGCATCGAAGACCATGTTTGAAGGTGTCAACGAGCTAATGCTGGTGCTATCGCAAGACGACAGCGCTCCTAGTGCGGCCGGTTATCGAATTTTGGGTAGCAAAATAGTTGCATTAAAGGCATTCGGTGAGCTCTATACGCACATTTGTTCAACTGTAACATGTTAGGGTGTTTTCTAACAATTTTGTGTCGAGGGGAAACCTACGCCTACCATAAGTTCTTATAAGAATTAGGTTCGAGCACAGCCACTGCAATTCCCAGTCACGCAGTAGGTCGAAGACATAGTCGAGAGCTTGTAGCTGTTAATTACAACATTTGAGGTAACGCAGCTGTGTGTCAGTTGCGAGGTTGTATAACTTGTTTTCATAGATTTTCTGCGGAGTACAATAGTATACGGTTCTGAATGACAGCATGGGCAGTACGCTTTTTTCGTCCGTTCACCAAAGTAGGTTCAGCCCAGCGGTGGGCGGCAATAAGCGAACGTCGGTTCTTGAAAGTGGGCGCTATTTTGGATCTTCCCTATTATCACCCACAACTGCAGTAGGAGACTTCCGCGAAAGGCAACAGAACATGCACCATGGTCGCTATCAGACTGCGTTGCCGGATGTTAACAACAGGTATACAATTACTAGGATTGCAAACCGCACAATGCAAGTTACACACACTATAAAACGGAAGGAAATTACAAACTTACAGCTAGATACTTGGGGGATTGAAGAAAATTAGGGACGATATTTTTTATATGTGCCATTTCGGATGGCTTGAGACTACGATGAAATTAGATATCGCAGATATCCTCAGAGAAAACGTACTTCGGTTCCACGAACTGACATGTAGCCTACGTCTTACGGAAATTCCAATGGTAAAAGTTGTAGTTTAGTAAATGTTAGCTTTTCTAGCTTTATGAGGAAATCAAGTGTGCCTTGCGTAATAAATTGTGTAGATAAGTTTTCATTCAATTTAATCACCGCTGTAATCACATGTTTTTTTTTTTTTTTTTTTATGAAAGTTATGCAGGTCAATCGCTGTTACTGAACTTAAAAAAAAACTACATAGAAATAAGCCAATAACTGTTTGTAAAACGATGTTTATATTCGGTAGTGACCGCTGCAGGTCTTCAACAACGTTGTACTCGAGCGGTCTAGAAAACTCTTTTCGGCCGTATGTCACTACCCGAAGTGTCGATGTTCGAACCTGTCCTGGAAGGCCAAAGGTTAGCAATACCTTTTAGTAAGAGCTGCTGCCTAGGCAACAGAACAGAGCACATTTATTTGATGGAATTTCTAAAAATACACATCAGAATTCTGTGTTGGCACGATATAATCTGTCAAATCGGCCACTCGAAAGCCCGTTGAAACAAAGAAAATATTTGTAGCAGTTAACTACTTAGTCACTAGTGATTATGGAGATAACCGAAAACGTTGTCCACGTATACATGAAAACGTAATGTAGCAATAAAAACGTTATGAAAATAATCTTTGTTCCTTATTGATTGTCTTCTATTTTGCACAGGTATTCCAACCATCGCACGTTACTTCGGTAGTCACAAACTGTCCCAAATGCTTTAACGGCAAACAGTGTACAATCCAGGTGGGTAGAGACCCATTATGCCCACAGATCGTTACGACAACTAAATATTATTACGGGCCATCAAAGCTAGCCTCAAAAAAAGGCCATATCCTCAGCACCTATATATTTGGCTATTTCAACACCTGACCAAATAATCGTTTTAATTAAAAGCGAGGAAGGCAATAAAAATAATGGCAAAGGCCTCAGTGAAGCGGGGTAGGATACATGAACCACTGATATCAGCTGTAAATATCAACCTGATAATAACTCTGTTGTCTACAGGTGTTATGTCCCCATGTTCTGGAGCGCTGCAATACATTCGGTGGTGCGTTTAAGGAACAGCTCTTTGGTCAGTACCGCGACGTGGATATGGAAAAGCAATTCAACTGAGTCTTGCGTTCCGCAGTTGCCATGGCGTCATTGTATCTTTCAGGAAATTACCTTTTCCACTCATTCGCACTCCATGGTAGACCAGTGGGTGTAATTATAAAATCTCAAGCCTTCCGTCATTATCGGCTTATAATCTAAACCGAAATAGTACCTCCAAGTAACATTTTAAGATAATTTGCAAGTCAAAGTAACATTCGCTCTATAATTTGTTTGAAATCATCATTTGAGGTGCCTTCAACAGTATGCCGAAAATATAGTCATTTATGGATATGTCACTGAGTGTGAGAGTACGAGTTGCCATCAGCAGTTTGAGGGTCTGACATTACATTCATCAGTCTTTACCACAGAGTATACAAAATCCCATTAGAGCATGAGATGAGGCATTTTTAATACAGATTTGCGTGATTTTTTTTAACGTATCACGAAGTACGAATCTGAGACTGTATAGCCGTCTCTAAATTATGACTACTACTATTACCGTTAGTTGCTGTTTGTGCAACGGCGGCTTGTATTATCTTATTGTTCTCAACGTCAAGCTTATTATGTCACAATGGGAACCTTGCATGAACAATGTACTTCGATAAGTTTTTGTCTCGGTCTTCAAATTGTCTGTAAAAGTCAAAAAAACAGGTAAATTACTAGGAATTAATAGTATGGACGCCTCAGGATGTGAAGTCCGTTAGTAACCAAGCTAATTATGGAAATGTCTCTAAAAGGCTGAACCTGGCTAGCTCATCAGCTTTTTTTGTTATCACAGATTTCACTGTAAAGAAAAGCGGCTATTTCCAACAAATCCCATCTTGTTGTACATCCACTAGCCGGTGCTTGAATTGATTACAAGAGCGTCCCTTATTATTCCAGCCAAGTAAATAGTTATCGACAGAAGCTGCAAGATCATGCGTCCATTTTTACGTGATATTTGCTTTCGCATTACTGACCATCACAGTCGAACGTTTCCGGCCAACTAAACAGGCCTCTTGAAACCTTAAAATAAGAAAGTCCAGAAAAGTAAATGCCACGTCCCAAAAGCACGAAATCACGTTCGACTCACAACCACCATTTATTATCATACTAAATAGGTAACTTTTAGTGTTTTGTTAAATGTATAATGATTTCAGTTAAATGGGCACAGTGGATAAATAGACCGAACCATAGATCTACAAATACAATTAAAAACCATTTTCTACTGGTCTATACCACTTTGGAATTAATTGGCTCGGCTTAATATTCACAGACGAATAGTCGCTTCCCGAGCATGCAAAACTGATATAAACGGTAATAATGGCCATTTGCCTTGGACATGTCACGACAGAAACAATGAGGATCGAATAGGAATAGTGACTAAAATAGGATGACGCACTACGCCTTCGTAAGTGATATAAAACTTCAAATATATAAGAACAGTCACTGTTGACTGGTGGAAAATAAACCGACTGATCCTAGCCAATGCGTATAACTATGTTGGTTGGAAAACTAGTTTATAAAAACAGTGTCTAATAATCCGCTCACTCTAAATTTCTTTGATTGATTCAAAGATGTCGTAAGTTCCAGTTATTCAGACCTTTGCCTTGTTACGTTTCTGGACTCGAATTTTTACTTAACAAATAGGTGATTATTTTTTTCAATTTGATTCAGTTGTAGCCCTAATATTCTTGCAACCCAAGCCAAGCGATCCACTTCTATTGTGATTGACTTTTTGTATAATAACATACAATTTCAAGCTTAGTTACATTGGCGCAGGCATCAATTAGGTTCCTCCATTGAGGTCTGTTAAACATTCTTACCTATATCGACGTTGGAAATTTTAACTTCAACAAAACAATTTTTATTTCAAGCTACGCTTGATTGTATCACAAACTCGGATGCGGTAATTGTCATGGTGGTAGGTCTGAATTTAAAATGCTTACCTAGCGTTTAGCTTTCCCTCAGCGGATACTCGCAGCGTCAATTACTATTTCCCTATATTGCTGCCTTTACAGTGATTTACGGAGAAAATCCAGACTATTATTATGATGACGCGGAAATTACTTTTACAGTTTGACCGGAGCTAGCATCCCTTCATTCAAGATAATTACGCACTGAATCTGCACTAGTCATGAGCATGTATGAAGACAAACACATGCAAAATTATGTGCTTTATTAAAAATTCTTACTAAAGATTGTACACAAAAGTTGTATGTCTGGAACAAACAACAATGACTGCCTATGCATATCCTTTTCCTCGTATAATTGCTGAACTGACATCGAAGTACCATAGACTCAAGGTGTTTCCGTTCGACGTGATATTTCACTGAATTTCAATGAATTTACGTGAAGTATCAGCCCGAACGAACTGTAAACGCAGTCGTACGTGATATTTCGAATTTGACGTTATCTGCTTCTTGATCAAAAAATAGATATTAAAGAACAACAACATACATATTTCCCTCCAAAAGAAAATCTGCACCAAAGAGAATTCATCCGATTTAGATAGGAAAAATAAAGGACACTCTGTTTAATTGAGACATCATGACATGTTCCGCGCTTTAACGTAACGTTTGCAGGTCTTAGGTGACACGCGCTTGGACAAACAGTAAAAATGGTGTGACACTCCTCCGCAGCGCTCCTGGTGATTCCGAAAGTATTTACATCAAAACTCATTATTTCAATACCTATACACTAGAGTAGTACACGCCAAAGTCCGAATTACACGGTTGATACTTTAAATATGACATCGTATTCGAACGAACTCATAGTTATTTCTTTCCCTTAAAATACGACTTGGCCCATTTCATGATATTATATCCATAAAATAATCTACAACTATGCTTACGAATGCAAGCATTCATATACTCTATCGTAGGAAGTTTGATAAGATCTGATTGCGAAACAGCAGTTGAATTAGAACATTAGCCGAAAAAATACACAGAGTCGAGGACTTCCTTTAGATCAAATTCACCCTTTTGAGGAACTTGTCTCAAAACTTTGTTAAGCCTCTGCTTGATAATGTCTGAAACAGAACTGTCTTTGAGGATCTCGGCTGTAGGAAAACCGAACTGTTTCTGTAGATGAATCGACAAATCTTCAAGGATTGGGTACGAATGAAGGGCTACGAACTGTTCGCGACATAACTGATTCATGATATCCACCTGAAGAATTGCAAAAACGCAGAGTTAAAAGATCGACTAATCCTGTCTTCTTGTTCTTCCCTTTTCGTTACTTTAGCGTCATCACGACTTCCTCTCCAACAGGCTTGGTATCACTTGTTTGTTTGAGATATTAACTCGAATGCCACGGATAGAGCATAATAACATTAACAGAATACGTTAGCGCCATTTTACGCGGGACAATAAACAGCTAAATTAATAGATAACCATAAATCACGCACCGTAGACGGATGCGTCCAGAAACAGTCGTGAACGGATACAAAGGTGATTCCTGCTGCCTGCGCATGAATCGCCGTCAGCATCATGTGGCTAGAGTCGAGACTGTGAACAAAGTTCGGTGGGAAAGCATTCTTCTGTTTATTCACGTTGGGTTTAGCGTCGTGGTCACCAAGATCGATGTATTGCTTTTTGATTGATTCTCCGAAAGACACCAGCGATCTAGAATAAAACAGAAACCCAAAAGAAGCCAAGACAAATTGAGGCTATGTAATCAGTAGAGGAGTAATACTCCTGCCCTACGGCTGATTGCAGCAGCCGAACTCATTTTAGAAGGGGCATAAGTGCACAAGGAGGTAGTCTAATCTCTATTGCTTTATAGGGCAGAAAAAGAGTTGTTCACAACACGGTTCAATATGATACTTTTTATTTGACGCACAAATGCAAGATGAAGCATTATCTGGTTGCCTGCGCGAACTATCCGAAACAAAGCACGCCACACGAAGACACTATTGATACAGATTTCTATTTCTATCTATTTTAACTGTTTATTTAATGCACTTTTATAACTGTAGAAAAGTACTAGTGAAAGTTACTTCGGCTAGCTCTGCATTGTATCCTCATCAATCAGTACTAAGCATATTTTTGTCCAGTAAATTTTAGAATATCATTATAGAGAGCTTTATCGCAACAAATGTCATGTCTCTAAGGGAACCTTCTTTTAAACATTCTGTGAGAGCTTTTTCCTCCCTAACTAGTTTTATATTTAACACTGAGCACTGACACGGGGGCAACGGCATCTCGTAGCAATCAAATAATTACATGTAAAGACAGGGTATAGTTAGTGACTATAATTAGTCCTACGATTCTATTTACACTTCTGGCGTTCTGGATTAGCGACGTATTGCCACCGTGTTTAAGATATTTTGACGTTGAGGTCCCTAGACCACGCATTTCGCTGTCAGTATAATACCATGTCATGTGGCTATTTTATTCAAAGTGCATGGCGAAGCACTTAAAAACGAAGAACGTAAATCTAAATGTCGTCGGCGAAGAATCTGGACCAGCTTGTTCCACCTAGGTTCGCTGCTACCGATTCGATTTACAAACGGATGGACGAAAGCTACTACGGGGACTCCGCGGATATTGAAGGTAACTGCTTCATGCCTCCATGATGTTCATAGTGGAAGGAAAGACTCGGTCGTTTTCGATAAAGCCATTGTCGCGTAGACTCAAACGTAGAATATTTCCTGAGGCCGCTTTGTCGCCATATATAATTGTGGAATTCGCCACGAACTAGATAAAGCCATCGGCACCATAACAACTGAAAAATAAAGCTTTCTCGAGCTCGTTTTCACTGTCTTTTTCAGTATTTTGATTTTGCCTTGAGAAACAACTCGTTGACTCTTACTTAATGCCAAGTGAGTTGAAGTTGCCCAGTATAATATTTGCACGATCAGCGTCACACATTTCATCACCATTCAACTCACTGGCTATCCTTGATTTGCGTGCATAAGATTCCCTTCCTGTCTTTCACTTGTGTGCATGGGATTCCCTTCTTATCTTTCACTGGCGCGCATGGGATTCCCTTCTTAACTGAAAATTGGGGCACTGCCAATGGTTCTGCTTCCTATCTCGGACGTATATTTCTCCTGGCGGAAGACAATTTTACCGTGCTTATACCTATTATATATCTTCGAATGAATTCGTATGTTCCGTAGTTCTGCCCTTGTAATATAGGTTGACCGAGTCATCGTTGCCGTTAACTTAGTTTATCCGATAACTTTTTTTAGTCATAGGCTTTCACGCTTTGATCGGTTTTGATCTGTCAATGCACTCCTGTCCAGGAATTCTACTATTCCAAATGTCTTGCTTCAACAGGTCTCAAAATTTAGCTAGATTATTTCAACGCACAATTGATTATTGGAACAGCGATGAAATGATGTGGATTTAACCAGTTTCACTGATACCAGGCGGACATATGCATTGGTTTTAAAATTAATATATATCTTCAGCGCTGACGCCACTCGAGAGCACTGATCTATTTATTATCTTTTTTTTTCTCAGACAAAAGGAACTTTTTTTTAGGAAGATCCTTAACCTGTCCAGCCGCGGCCTTGTTCTGCGGGTTCAATGTGTTGTTCATTATGTGCCACCTGAAGAGCTTTAAGAATACCTTTCCTCTCGAGTGCATGTAAAATTTGACGCTTCGTTAACATGCACGGGTATCACTTACAGGATTACAGACATCTGCTGACATCCCTGTCCATTTGACGGTTCTTTATTACTTCTCTTACGAATCACACGAATTAGGATTGCCTCCGTTCCTGAAAATATTACTAGCCCGAGAGATTTGCTGAAAGCAGTTCAGATTTCTTTTTAGGTATTGTTTCTCATTTTTCGGCAATCCGTTTTTGGGTTACCAAAGTGTTTACATCCAGTTTCTCTTTTTTTTTTTTTGAAAATCCGTCGCAGCAATGTTCTTTAGCCGACACAATTACCATGCCCAACCGATCATGACCCTGCTATGGTAGATCACCTATGCCAGTTCTTACGATGACATAGGAGGTAACGTGGTTAAGTACTAACTGGGAAGACACGTGAAATAATTTAAATCCAGAACAGTGCGCAGATACAATCTGTTTCGTACTCGAGGTAGCTAGAAACGGAAGAAAGCAATGTTTAACCGCAACACCGAACTTAAAATTCTAAGCTAAAAAAAATAGAGGATTGAAGTCTGTTGACCATGTTATACGTTGAAGTGTGTCCATAGCAGCTGTGATACAGCCGCTCATAGCACACGAATTAATTTGCAAAAATACGACCCTTATTATCAATGACTTTTCGACAATTCCGCCACATGTAGCAAGAAGTAGAGATGGCGTCGTTCATTGCCACTTTTACTGTTTGTTAGATTGAATCTTTTTGGACGGTTTTTCCTTTTTAAATTGTTAGATGATATAGTAAAGGTTGGGCAAGGATTGATAAATACGCACATTCTATAAAAACGTCCCATATCGGCACAGGACTCTCTTTGCCTACATGTATGTTTTAACATGCGGAACGCGGATCACCCCAACCATCAGTGTGTACGGGCAAACCGATGCATTCATTATTGTTGACCTCATAATCTGGCGTAATCAATATAAAGCTACACAAAAAACTGAGGGTACCATTCTACGTATTTTATGGCATTAGTACACGGACGAAAAAAATATTAAAGAACACTAGATCTTAGCCTTCAGTAGTAAGCAAAAAACCATCCAAACCATCGTATTCAAAATCTTTGCAGATACTTTTCTAGGCTGTGTTTTTACTTGACGCATGGCTGAAACAGATCTGAAAACCTATTACATTGCTCCTTCTAGAAGGCATAGGTGGCCAGAAAGTGGTACGCTATTAGAATTATGCAAAACGCATTTTATGCATTTTAGCTGCTGAACTAAGGCTCCGTAATGGCGCAGTGGATAACGTGTTTGCTTTCTATATTTAGGGGACACATGGTGATCCAGGTTCGAATTCTGGCTCAAGCACACTTCGTTTCGTGCTGGGAGCCAGTTTCTGAAGCAATGCTTAAAGACTAGATGAAAATGATGAACGCGTTAACTCCTAAATTGAAATTTGGAGGCATTTATAATCACCAGAACTATGTGAAGTGCTAAAATGGCTTCGAACTTGTAAAACGTGTTGTTTACGTACGTTTTCTTAACAGGTACAAAGTAGGGCTGGACGACGGGAAGTCCGAGGGGTGTCACCCAGTTGATTGGCCGACATCTGATTTTCGCCACTAGCTTAGCACAATTAGTAAACCAATCTTGGATTTCTCTGGTTGCAGTGAACATTTCCCGTAAGCTGTTTTATAATCAAAAAAAGTGTGACAAGGATTTTTGAAAAAAATAAACCAGTTAGGCTCAAATTATATACACCACGTCCCAACTGGCAGTCCTAAATACTTTTATGAAAATTCTAACTCTAGTTATATGGAATCACAGTTGTATGCTTAGCCCACAGTCGATGCTACCTATGGGAATGTCAAAATTTATCAAGAAGCAAAAGCTGACACTTTGTTGAAGTAACAAACCAATGCCAACGATTCGAAAAATTAAGTACCTGAAAAACACCTTTTGGACAAGGTATGAGGCCGCGATGTGGGCGTGTTGCTGTGGAAAATCATCCAGATCTTGCAACTGTCGCAATATTTGCAGTTGAGCTCCATACTTGGTTACGCCGTACACAACTGTCATCACAGTTTGTTTAACTACCTGTAGAATCAACACGCAAATGAATTCATCTCTTGGCATTGTTTATGATGAACTTTTTTTTACCTCAATGGCTATAGGTGGACAATGGTTACTGTCTCTGGTGCTAGACGTGATGTTTTAGCGAATGGCTTATAACTTGCTACATCATGCATGGCAATTTAGGCTAACAAATGACTTCACTCTATGGTACTGTTCTATATATATCTATATACGAGGCAAAAGCAGTCAATTTTTTTAGATTCTTTCCAAGTAAAGACAGATAAGCTAACTATTTTTTTGCCTGTCATAGAAATATTAGTTCTGACAGACATACTTACTCGATACAATCCCCATTCACGTCGATTACAACCTTCCTTTGGTACCCAAATCTATCGTTTCAAGGAATTTTTTTTTTGATCATACAAAACAGCCTTGACGGCCAGTCGATGTTGCTGCAAAATGAGATTTGTCGGACATTTCAGCGCATTCAAATTTGGGTCCTTTGTCCAAAATATGTTCAGGCACCCAAGGACTAACCGGCCAGTATGAACTGGTACAGCATCTCGCTTAAAGATGTATGACGTTCCCTCGAACATGCCATCTATCTGTGGTCATACGACACTTTGTGGAACACAAGAACAAGCTTATTTGTTAATGGTTTCGCCTTCGCGGAAAAAGTATGCCAGCGCCATGTCTTTTTACTGAACATTAAATTTAGAACCCGTACATTGGTTACAAATTAAATTTTTCCCTAATAGGCATATCCTCTGGATAGTGAACAAGCCAGCGGTCGCTTCTGCGACTGATTTTTACTTCGATGGTAAGCGCCCTTTCCTCAGAGAAGAATCAGAATCCACATGATTCTTTATCTACAGAACTGAGGGACGAACAACATCGAGTAGATTTCAAGTTTTAAGCGACTTCAGAACAGCGGAAGGGTCAATACACACGCTCTTTTCGACGGTGTTAATTTACTCGGAAGTCCGCACTGTTTTTTTGCATGGGATGGGCTTTCGCTTGTGCTGTACCTTAACTTGCTTCTGCCTCTTTTGCAGCAGCGTATTCGCTTGCGATGGAACC